CGTAGAGACCGAGACAAAGAAAGGGACAGGGACAGAAGACGCAGCCACAGAGACAGGGAGAGGCGCAGGGGAGACAGGGACAGAGACAGGGAGCACAAGAGAGATCGAGGGGATAGAGAGAAAGGTGAGCGCAGAGAGGATCGCCACGGATCCCTACGAGATGACGCCGTCCCCCAGGACGACCTGGGTAATGAGGACGAGGGAGAAACAACGCAACACATGGAGGAGTACGGTCAGGAAGACGGGATTCTGATGGAGCAGCAGTTGGCGCCATCTACTGATGGTTACGGCTCCAGTGAGAACGGATATAAGATGGAAGTTCCAGCAGATGAGTACTGAGCCGCTCCTTCTGTCCCTGTCTGTTTATTTCATAAATTCTTTTCTTGGCTCTTGAGTTTGTGCAGAGGCACAGAAGTCCAGCTGATCTCACGGCCTCCTCAAAACAAAACTCTAAATTTCTTCTGGTCAAAAATCACGTCCTCTATTCTAATTATCGCCCCACCCAGATCAATCACCAACTCGGTAAATCACTTAAATTGAACCTAGGTTGAAAAGCATAAAAAAAAAAAAAAAATTTGTTTTTTGCGGCTCTGTGATGAGCTCATGGTGAGCACACACACACGCAGGAGCGTTCCAACACGAGACCTGAGATGAAAACTGAAAATCAACTCGTTTAGCACATCTGTCCTGCGGCCCCTTCAGTTTTAGGTTTCTCTGGGGATTAATGAGCACTGAGCGAGACAAGGATGTAAGGTAGGTGTAGACGAGAGGCCTCGGTGTGTGTGTGTGTGTGTGCGTGCAGTTAGTCGCAGCCTCCTCAATATTGCAGCAAGCCGAGGTCAGAAGGGTTTTTTATTTAGATCTCATTTACATTATGTTAATGGTAAAAAAAATTGGAATGTGGCTCTAACAAGACAATTCGTTCGAAGACCCATCAGATGTGTGACCTTGACCTTTGAAGACCCATCTGATCTGTGACCTTGAGCGTCATCAAATGGAGCTGAGCATGTCTTTTAATCTCTTCTTGTCCGGGGCTCTAAACAATGATGCTTCTTAATGTAGTTTTTTTTTTTACCTATTGTACATGTGTACTAATTTGGGTCTGATTACTCAGTTCTGCTCAGTTTCTGTACAATTGAAGAAAAAGTAGTAATTTGAGACACTCGAGGGTTTTCTGTTGGGTTTTTTTTTTTGTTGTTGTTGTTTTTTTTGTTGTTTTTTTTTATGATGTCTGCCTCTTGTCTGTTAGAACCACAGGCTTGTTTTAATAAACATGTGACTCAAGCTTGACTCTGTTCATTATTTCTCCATGTCGCTACAATAACAAAACTACATGCAGTTTTCTGGTGCTTAGAATCGCTTAACCGAAACACCGAATTTTCCTGTTGACCCGGTTCAGTGACTGACTCAATGTGGCGACGATTCGATTCGATTCTGTTACCTTCATTTATTTAGATCCTTGTAAGAAGTAAATTCTAATATGTTTTCTCTCACGTTATTCCAGAATCAGTAGAAGACGTACAAACGACAACAACGAGCCTATTTTTCTGCTTTGGGATTGGCCAACAACACCTGCTCGTGAGACTCGATCCTTACCGGATCCCTTTTAATGAGGGACTAAGAATAATCCAGAACAGTCATCAGATGTAGTGAGTTTTTCCAGCGCTAGTTGTGCTGCGTCAGGTCGTCGCCTCCTCCTGACTCCTGCCTCTGCCTCTTCTTCCCTCCTCCTCCTCCTTCTCTCTCCTCTCCGCCTCCACATCTCGCTGACATGTTATTGTAGAGAAACATGGTAGACGCATCACTGTGAACTAACGGCTCTCTGATTTCCTCTGGAGCTCACCATGATGTCTACCTTCTACCACCCAGTTAAGGAGGCGGACATGGCGGCTATGACGGAGCCGCTGTGCCTGGAACGAGGTAGGAAATAATCCGATTCTAGACCATCGTATTCATATTTGCCATAGAATGTGACAATAATGCGGTATATGTGACAGAGTGACGACAGTGTCGTGTTTCAGTTGTGTATTGATTTATTTGACGAAGAAGTCGGATCAGCGACACGAAGGTTACAGCGTTCTTTGCGGTGATAGATTTTTAATTTTTATTTTATTTATTTTTTACCTCACGTTTAATAGTTAATGTACAGTTTTGGCTTTGGAGATAATTCGTTGCTTACTGGTTTGTTTTATGGATTAGAAGCAAAACCCGCTGATCATCCACTGTGAGGCCAGAACAGGTGACTGGGCAGGGCCGCACCTAGATTATTCAGATTAGGGGGGCATTTGAATACAGTAATTTTTTCCAAGCATGCCTCCACTAGGAGGCGCCAAAGCATTTATTGGTTGGTAACAAAAAAAGGTAAGATGTAATGTCCAAACAGACACATAGTTGAGTAAAAATTGTTTTTAAATGTAAATCAGTAAAAAAATACAACTGCAGTGATGAATGACAAAAGTGAAACTTTATTTTATCCCTGCAGCACAAAATCTGTTACATCCATTCCTGGTTTCCGAACTGAATAGTCCACAGAAGGGTTGTTGCTGCCACACTTCTGCACACTTGAACCTAGCCAACATCATGAGAATGAATTGACGGATTACTTCCATGTACAATTGAAAAGGAAATTGACTCAGAAACATCATGACGTGAGGTTTAATTTGCCAATCCGTCCTTGTGTTCCGTGAACCCCAGATGTGTGCAGAGTGATCGAGCTGCTGGACCGTCTGCAGCGCAGTGGGGAACTTCCTCCACCTAAGCTTCAGGCATTGCAGAGAGTCCTGCAGAGCAAGTTCTGTGCCGCCATCAGAGAGGTGAGAGTTAACTTCACACAGTTGGTGTTGACGTCACGTTTTCTTCTCTATGTGTAGTGACAGTTTGAGCCACACATTTGCTCCTGTTTATCTTAAAACACTGACTCCTCCCGTTTAAAGGTTGTTTTTATTCTTCCTCTTCTTACCTGTGATCTGCCCTCTTTACCCCCAGGTGTATGAGCAGCTCTATGACACTCTGGACATCGTTGGAGGACCAGAGGTGCGAGCACAGGCCACCGCCAAGGTACTGCTAATGAAGAAGATTAGCATTTAAGGCTAATAGTTTTCTCAGAATGCAGAATGTTAAAAAAATCAGAAAGAAGAAGATTAGCATTTAAGGCTAATAGGTTGTTCAGAATGCAGAATATTCTGCAGGAATAATGTATCTGAAATGTTCTTGTTTTTTTTTGTTTATTTTTAACTTTTTTTTTACTTTACTACTATACTGCTATATATTTTTTTTCTTAATCTTTCTAATTTTGCTAATCTGTTGGTCCATCTGACTAGGCCACAGTGGCAGCATTTGCAGCCAGTGAGGGACATGCTCACCCCAGAGTGGTGGAGCTCCCCAAGACAGATGAGGGGCTGGGCTTTAATATCATGGGAGGCAAAGAGCAGAACTCCCCCATCTATATCTCCAGAGTGATCCCTGGTGGAGTGGCCGATCGTCAAGGAGGGTTAAAGAGAGGCGACCAGCTGCTGTCTGTCAATGGAGTGGTAGGTTTACGCCCCCCTAGTGGTGGAATCCTGTCAAATATAGCAACATTGCTTTTAGGTTGTAAATGTTTTGTGTTTTTGCTGCAGAGTGTTGAGGGCGAGCACCACGAAAAGGCTGTAGAGCTGCTGAAAGCCGCCCAGGGTTCGGTCAAACTGGTGGTCCGTTACACCCCCAAAGTCCTGGAGGAAATGGAAGCGCGCTTCGAGAAGATGAGAAGCGCCCGCAGGCGACAGCAGCACGCCAGCTACTCGTGAGACAACTCGTTAGTCCCTGCACGAACTGCAGCTGAGTGTGTCTGACCTTTGACCCCTTAGACAGAGTCCCAATAGAAACTGCAGGGTCTGTGGAGCCCCTACCAAAGCACTAGCACTAGTCCTTATATGACTATTTGTTCTATTTCTATGTTGTGTGACTCTCTACCTTTGATGACAGCACAGATCAGTTCACATCTATTTTCTCCACATCTGATGAATTCGGCCAAACAGTCAAACCTACACCTCTGTGTCCTCTCTCAGTCAGTTGATCTCTCTGTCTGTCTCCCCACCACAGATCTCTGGAGTCCCGGGGCTGAGTTAACACGGCGCCTCCTTCGCCTCCTGCTACAACCTCCTGCCTCTGCTGTTCCTGTGGGAGGAAAGACTGTTGAGAAGAAGCAAAGAACCAAAACAGCCTACTGTCACCTGAACTGCTTCACGAATCCAACGCTGCGGTTCAACATTTTCTTCCCACCCTCAATGTTGTGTAAGTTTGTTGTCAGATCACAGCCAATCTGCCTCCCCCTACTGTAATATACACATCGCATCTGTCTGTTTGTGGCTCAACTCATGGCTCTTGTGTTCATGTCCTGAGTTTGTTACACTATGACCCTTCTCATGTGCTGTAGTTCGTATCTTCAGTGTCAGGCACATGTCAGAGGAGGAGGCAGGAAGTCAGACATTCTTCATCTGCATTAGTGGCATTATGAAGAAGTACAGTGAAATTGTGACTGTCGGTTGTCCTGTTGGAAAGATGTGGGTTTTATTTTAGAGGTAGATGGATTAGTCTCTCTGACGATGAATCAGTGAAACCCTTTTACAGTAGTTACTGATCAGTCATCGATGTGAGTTCACACTATTTTGTTGTCACATATTTAATAAATGCTGCTAACACTGGGATTTGTTTTCTTTTTTTTTCATTCATGGCCTCTGTGACAAAGTTTAGTTTTTTTAAACACTTCTTTTATAAATTATTTATCTTTTAATTTGTTTGTTTTAAATACAGATATATGAGTGCACCTCAGTGCAGACACAGACGGCAGACTGAAGAGACAGGCCATGAATTGTGTTCAATAAATGTTTGAGGTCAAACATTGTGTCTTGTTTTTATGTACATGTTTTACAATAAAGAAGATTTGATGTTTAGAATCAGAATGACTTTTTTTAATGCCCAAAAGAACAGTGTTGTAATTGTATACACTCTGGAGGTGTTCATATTCCCTCAGTCCTAATACGAAGATTATCAGGACCAGGTCAACCAGAAGAGGGCAGCAGATGTCTTCCAGATATCTAGTCACACTATAATGAGAAAGCCGAAGAAGAGTTAGCATGTTTGAGAGGTATTTTCGAAAAGTACATCGTACCGTACGTTTTTGTTTTAACTCGGAGGAAAAGGGGAGCTGTGGGTTGTTTCTCATTGACACTGATGGACTTCAGCGGGAGATTTTGTCACGTAAGTCTGGAGTAGTGACGTATTTGAAATATATTCACATTGAATATGAGCGAAGAACCTTTAGCTCCAGGTTAGCCGAGTGTTTCTGTTGAAACGGTCACTTTTCGCTTTAATTAAGTCATATTTTGGCAGTAAAAAGCTATGGGGTTATAACAGACTACATTTCATGTCTTTGGTTTTTTTTCATCTGCTGAGTGAACGTCAGAAAGGTTAACAACAACAACAACAACGATAAGTTAGCAACAGGCGTCACATAGATTCTGTAGGTGGACATCTTCCTCCCGCCCTCTTGTTTGGGCGACGCCATTTTCCCCAGTGTGGCCTCAATAGGTTTAATATAACTAAATATAAAATTTAGAGCAAAGAAAAATCTATATAACATAAGTCACAACCCTTTTTTTCTTTATTTTGTCTGTTTTATTTTGTGGGTGTGCTGGAATTCTGAATTTACTTTCAAAGGAAATAGAACAAATATTAATTACTTTAAAAATATTTAGTAAAACAAATATCCAAATGTCTTTTATATCTCGCCTAAAATCTCTTCTCTTTTTCTTTTGTATGTTCCTTTAATAAAGTTTTTTTCTAATGAATAAATATTCATAAATACTTTTAATTTGTTAAATGTTTAGTTTGTATTTTCCGGGTTTAATAGTAGTAGTGGTGTTGTGTCCTTAAACGTCAGATTTCATCATTAAAGACACATTTTTTATTTTTGTCTCTGTCTGATTACCTGATCAGGATGAGAAGTTCCACCTCCGCCCTCTCTCCTCCTCACTCTCCTCCACCAGCCCCTCTACCACTGGCGTCCTCCTCCTCTGTTACTGGATGTCCAGAACTTGACCTGTCTGTCAATGTCACTCCAACTCCCAAGACTGAGCCCTCAAAGCAGAACCGCCCCTTGGATGGACACACTAAAGGACAGAAGGTTAAAAGTTTTAAATAAATTAGCGGTGATTGGAGAAAAACATGAGGAAATGTAACTGAAGTATCAGCAGTTTTTAGTCAATGATAAATAAAATGTATAAGAAAGTGTCAGAGACTGTAATTCATGATGTAAACATTTATCTTTTGTTTATTTATTTATTTTTTTCACTTCTAAAATTTTTGTCCTCTCTAAGGTTTCTTTCAAAGAGCCGCTGGTCTGCACATTAACACTGGAGCCTCATGGCACTTTCGTCAAAAAAGCCCAACGTCAGCAGCCAATCAGAGGTCAGTGAGGTTGAGAGTCTGTAGTAAACATTGATTTACAGTATTTTTTTAACAAAACAAATTATTTTAAGAAACTATAAATGAAACCAATTATAAAAATGAGTTTTGAGTAATAAGAATCTGACCATATTTATTTCACCCTGGATGTTTTAACAATGTTGTGCCTCCTGTGTTTGCTCTTAGCTGATGCCTCCAAACACATCGTGGAATTTCCTGTTGCAGAATCAAATCCAGGTGCTGGTTGTCTGGAGACAGTGGGATTAAATTCCACCCTGGCTCTGAAGGCGGAGCTTCAGTCGCTGCAGGTGGGTGCTATTCATTTTCATCGCTCTGACACACAGACAACAGGAGGCTGATCAGCAGTAACATTATTTCTGTTGTCCAACAGAGTGAGGGGTTTAATTCCCAGAAGGCTGTACAAGAGACACTGCGTAAATCAGAGAGGACAAAGAATCTGATCAACACAAAGGCTACAGACGGTAACGAACGCACACACGTATAAAACTTCAAGCATCTATGTATAAATGACATGCTCGATGTTATTTTTGCAACCTTGCTTACTGAGTCCCCCTCATTAGCCGCTCTGTATTCCTTGCATGACATTACTGCCACCTGCTGGGGGCTTTTTACACTGGTAAATATTATCTCTTCAAGGCGTCTTGTTTAGTTGGAAAAACAGGGAAAAATTAGATAATACAAAGTAAGGGAATCCAGAATCCATGTAGTTGACACACTGGTTTATTCACAAGACACGCTTGCGGTGACATTTCTATTTTCTCTTTTTCATCTCTCTCTCGCCGTCTCCCTGTAGTTGTGAATGTCTCTCGCTCTCAGCTCCTCTTCAATTCCCTTGTCAGCGTCAGCGTGCAGAAGGATGAACTCATCCACCAGCTCCTTCAGGATCGACTGACCGTGCATCCACTCTGCCATGAAGTCAAAGCAGCGGACGGTCCCTCACTTAGCGTATTTGTGACCTCTGACCTGGTCAGACAGAAGCCCCTCCCTCCCAGTGAGGAGCCTCCGTGCGACAAGTTGAAGCCATTGACACGACGTGCCTGCTCGACATTTGACCTCAGTCAAAGACAGAGACGATGGGAGGCCACGCCCTGACTCAGTGACCAATCACAGCTCACTGTGATTGGTCACTGAGTTTTCACTGTTTGCTGATTGACTTTGAATTAGTTCACTGTAAATGTTTTCTTCTGCAATAAAGTCTTTTCCACTTCCACCTCACCTCCATCCTCTGAGGCTGTGACCTCTCCTCTACAATCCACAGTTTTTGTTTGTTGTTCTCCATCGTTCACGTGGAATATCATCAAAACAAAGACAAAGAGAGTGGATGAGGAAACTGACAAGAGCAGATTGTTGATGAAATATGGAAACAGTACAAAGACAAACATGTTTAAAGGTAAAAAAAATGTAAATAATCAACATTATGTTGTTAAAGTTTATAATGTAAATTTATACATTAACATTTAATGTGTTCTGTTTTCTTGACAAGTTCAGTTTCTGTTTAGCTCAAAGATGAGGGACATTTCATCCAAGGTTTTTTTTTCTTTCCCCAAAACTATTGTTTATATATTTTTAAGAAAACAATCAGCTTTTTTGAGCTAAAATGCAAAGCAGAAAAACATTCTTGAAACCCAGATTCTGTAAAACTTTGTTGATCCCCAGGTAGAACTTTTTTCTGCACTGTTAGTAATGTGTAATTTTTTTGTTTACATTTGCTTTCTACTATGTTATAGTAGAATTTGTACAGTTATTATTGTTGTTCCTGTTAATGTTAGTGTCCAGTGTTCCCTGCTGAGGAACAGGAGAAAGATAATTAATTAATTTAGTTTTTATATTTGATCATGTTTATAAACGTATGCTCTTATGAATAATTTGTTTTTCATTATATGGTCATCTAGTTTGAAGAAGTAGAGGTTGATCTAATAAAACATGTTCTCAATAAACCATAAACAACTAAAAAAAAGTCCAGATGCTGAAGAAAATCAATTTTTCTCTTTGTCTTTTCTTTATTTAGGTTGAGGGACTGCAGTTTGTCAGAGATCAGCTGTTTATTTCTGGTCTCAGCTCTGAAGTCCAACCCCTCCCGTCTGAGGAAACTGGATCTGAGTGGAAACAACCTGAAGGATTCAGCAGTGGAGGATCTGAGGTCAGTGTAGAACACTGGAGTCAAAATGTTGAAACTAAATCTGTTTTTCAATTATTTGTAAACTTTCTCCTCTCTCCACTTGGTGGCGTGTGATCAGATTCCCATACTGTTTCCTTTTTACAGACCTTATTGTCTATGAACTCCGTGTGTTCATTATTTTAATTGACAGGTGAATGTTTTGCCTTTTGTTACCTTACTCCAACTGTAGAGGGCGCTGCTGCTGCACCTGTGCAGCAGTCTGAGTCGAACGTGACATAAACTGCTCTCATCTCTGCACATTTCTCTTCTCTCCACAGCTGGAAGCTATGGTGGAAATGAGGAGCAGGATTTCCAGCTGCAGGTCAGTGACGAGGGGACTGGACTGTCTACTGTTGACTGTAGTTTTCCTTATAACCTGACATGAGAGTTACTGTCCAGTTAGATCAGTATTATTAATGTTACTGTTCTGGTCATTCATTATTGTAATTATTATTATCACTGACTTTTGATCAGCTGTGCTCAGTGGTTGTTCATTTGTTTAAACAGCTTAATTATAAACACAGTCCTGTGTGAACAAATGTTATTAGCAGGTCTGGTCAAAGTTAAGACAGTGATAAAGATTTAACAAAAAAAAAAAAGACTTTTAACACCACTGTTTCCTTTGACCAAACCTCATGTGTTTGACAGCAGTGCTCTGTGATTCCAGACTCTACAGCTTTATTTTTACATGACCTCCAACAAAAACAATTTAGAAGAAATGAACACCACTACAGTATTCACTCATAGTGCAAAGTTCAATCAAACCACAAAGGATTATGGGAAATGATCCTGCTGTATTCCAACATGCTGCAGGATTGTTGTATCAGTCCCTGTGAGGTTATTCTGGAGAATATTCTAGATTATTTGTGTCCTTGTTTATATTGTTGACAACCATGTTTATCAGAGGATTAAGAATTGGGACAATATTAAAGTACATTAGGAACGGATAAAACTACGATTAATTGTGGTTAAATATTTCTTAACAGACATAATTAGAGTGTTGTTGTTCTAGAAACATCCTAAACATTTGTCAGTATGGTTCAACTGTTCCACTGAAAGTTAAACGTTGGTGCTAATCAGTCAGAATTAACCGTTATTTACTTAGAAACAATAACGATTATTTCCCATGAGTCTGGAGAGAACGTGAACCTCAGGAAATGTTGAAATAATATCGTGTGAGACAGAAACAAATATATCTCTCAAGGACAGATTAAAAAAAGATTTCGAGATTTTCAAGGAAAAAACGTTTATATTTTAACTCCTCCTCTCAGAGCTTCCCGCCACTCCCATTTTCCGAGGGCGATAAAACCACACAGGTACAGAACGAAGGTGAGTCTTCCGATTTAATATGACTAAAAAGAACGTTTTATCTTGATAAATATATATTTTAAAACAAACAAACGACGTTTTAAAGAGTTTCGGCTTTTTTTTTCATTTTGTATCGATACATTCAACGTGTTATATCATTTTGCTATTGTCAGAAAAACATCTGTGCCACAGACTTTTTCTTTATAACTGTTACTTGTATACATTTTCTCATCCTTCGTAGAAAATTATCATTTAAATGTATCCCATTACATTATAATACCTTTAGCAGACATTTAAAATTTTAAACCACAAACCGCACCCAGTTTTCATTTCAGAACAGACCTGTTGGCTCTGAGGGCAAAGAGCAAACACGGACTGAGTCATGATCTAATACAGGAATAGCTGAAGAGAAAGTATGTGTAATGATTAATTTGTTACATCTGTATCTGTGACAACAGTTATGGCGGCCAAGCACATCAACCGCTATTGCGTTTCCGTGCGCTAACGACTAATTAGCTAATTATTAATATTATATATATATATATTTACATATATATATATATATATATCATTTATAATGTGTTTCAGAACTTACTTGGAGAGGCTGAAGTCCAGAAAATGAGTGAATCTATGGAGAAAGAAGACAAGTCAGAGTCTCCAGGACCCAGCTGTCTGTCTGTGAGGACTGACAGGTCCAAAAGTTTACCTCCATTCTTCAGTGATGAGCCCAAACCTCCAGACATGCAGTATGTAGAAAACCATAATATCATGTTAAACCACACACTGACACATGTTCTCTCAGGCTGTGGTTCTGTTTCTCCACTGACAGAATCTTCTCCTGATCAATAACTGGTTAATTTTCAAATCCATCTCATCTCTTTGTAACTAACGAAATGAAGAGACAAATGTTTGAATTCACTGTCATCTTCATCTTCTTGTCAACAAGAAGCTTCTCACTGATGTCCACTCTTCTTCTACTGTCTCTCTGTCCCTCTGCCGTCTGTCCAAACACACTGTCTTCATCTTAGCAGCCAATCAAAAGACAGGAGACGTAGTGAGGGAGTGTGAAATGTCACTAATGAAGAAATGTCTTCACAGGAGGACATTTGATGTTTCTATGGACCAGCAGATGTCCAACTGTCATCTGTGTCAGAACGTCCTGGAGGATCCAGTCACCAGCAGCTGTGGACACTGGTTCTGCAGACAGTGCATCAGCTCACACTGGAGTCAGTCTGGTCCATCAGAGGACACCTGCTGTCCTCAGTGTGGACCACAGAGGAGCAGAGAGATCATGGCTGTCCAGAGTAAGACTGAACATGTCTACTGATGACATCACTGACTGAAAACATCAATATTGAATCACCACTGAATGTCTCTGTTTTTCATTCAAACAAACACTGTTCACTCTCTGACTCCCTGGACTTTATAACAAATTAACTTGAATTTAGTCACTTTTTTGGTCCACTTTGAGCTTCTGTTTTGTTACAGTAGTGTGTCAGAGTGAGTGACAGGAGGATTCCCAATCACATTCATTCTTGATCATTTTCACATAAATGTTAAAAAAGAGCAACATTTGTAAACTATCAAGTCACACATCAGTCAAATCATTCACCTTACTGATGTATTTGGTATGTTTTGTTTGTCTATAACTCTGCTGCCCCCTGTAGGAGTAACCAGGACAGTGTTTCTTGTTCTTTATTAGACTGGTCTTCACAGCTCTTCTGGGTCAGTTCATTTGGTCAGAACAGATTCTCAGTCATTAACTGACCATGGAAACAGAATGATAAAATGACATCACAGCAAATGGAACTGCTGATGTCACTGTGCTATATCTCAGCTGAAAGTGTTTACTCATGAGGAAATCAAACCCAGGACAGTTTTTCTTCAACTAGTGAAGATATGTTTTAGTTTTGTTCTAGTGGAGGACACATGATATTAGCTTTGGACCTAGCATGCTAACTTAGCTGGTTCTTTAAGAGAGTGGAAAAGTCACATTTTAAACAAGTGTGTCTGCAGTTGAGTTTGGTTGAATATCTCAGGAGATGGTAAATCCTTCTTACATCTTATCTTTCAGTGGACGTTGGTCTGCAGCAGACTGTAGAAGAACATAAACTCAGTCTGAGGAGGAGATGTGAACATGTGACTGAAGGAGCAGATGAACCAGGAAGTAGAACCCTCCTCAACAAGATCTACACTGAGCTCTACATCACAGAGGGACAGAGTGAGGAGGT